TGAACAAATGTGATCATATTAAGCGGCCTCTACTATAGTTCAAACAAAACTACTACTAGTAGTACAAAGCTAAAACAGTTGTGTTTTTATGACACATATCATTTGTCTGATAGTAACTTCAGATCAAGTCCACGACTTTTATCATTACCAAGAAGCGATAGTTGCACCTGTCGTTGGAACAAGCCTTATGCATCTTACAGGTGACAGTGTGAATTTGCCCAGCTTCGTCCCAATTTTGAAGGAGAAACCTACAGGGGACAAATCTTAGGATATCGCATCCGTCTTCCCCTGGCACAAAACCTCTTGAGAGGACATTCAGCTCGACAGTATTTTAAATAATCCCATGCCACAAAGACACTGCACACCCATGCCCTCCCCGGGATTCAAATCCGGGCCTAGTGGCTATGTGGGGGGGGATCTATAGCCACTAGATCTCCTATGCCAGTAGGATGTCATAAACAAATTAATATGAACAAATTCATGAAATAAAAACAAAGTTCAGAAGAGGTAGGTAATCTAAGTGTGTAATACAAAAATATAAAAGGATATTAAGAAAATTTGTAAGCCACTATGTATCTCCAACAGAGTAATAGCAGCTTTGTCATGATTAAGTTTTTTTAAAAACTTATATATGGTGCAACATTCGAGGCTTACGCAACTTTTTAAAATTAGTTAGTTAAAAAAAATCTAATTGCCAAAATTTAAAAAAGAAATCGGATAAATTAAAAAGAAATTAGGAAATTTTCATCTCTAAAGGAATGAGGTAGCCCCTTCACTTCTACAGATCATAGCATAACATCTCCAAAGGATGCTATGGACTTTGAAAGATAATAAGCTCAAAGCTTAGAATCAGAAAAAAGAAGAAAAGTTTAAATTTTAACGTTTACAATACAGGTTCACATAATGTCCAATATTCGCCTTCAAGATGGTTTAAGCAACTTACGTATTATTAAAAGAATTATTGGGCAGAAACTGAAAAGTTTTTACTATTTCTCTAATACTGTCAAAATTTAATATTATTTCTTTCAATCGATTCTTTACTTCCAAGCTATTCATTCTTTCCAGAACTGTGCCAATTAGCAGGGCAAAAAGGAAGGAGGCAGAAAGCGAAATAAAGCTCTATAAAGGTTTTCAATTTATCTCATCACAGATACAGTTCTGACCGTCGTCCACATTGTAGCCTCGAGAAACTATTGCGAATGTGTGAATTAGCTAAGTTACTCTTGTGGTTGGCAAAAAGTTTAAGATTGCTTCAGATGAATCAGAGACAATCCTAGATGAAAGCTTTCTAAACAGGCTTTTCTTTCTGGACCTGAAAGTTTAATTGCATTACAATGAATTTACCTTTCTGCAAGGTTTTAATCCTTTTAATTTTCGTATTAATGCTTATAAATTCATATGTGTTTAATTAAATATTAGATTGTACTTTCATATTTACGTGTGGGTGTTGAGTTCATTTTAAGCAGTCGTCAAAAATAATGGCATGACGAAGACAGGGTAAAGCTAGTTAAGATCAGAAGTTAACATTAATTGAAAAAATAGCTAAAGGCAGAAAATGCAGCATAAATTACACTTTAGCAGGCAAGCATACTATAAATTTATTTGCAGCCTTAATTCGGTCTCTGAACTGAATTCTGAAGCTAAAATGCTCTCTATATATCTTTTTTGCCAATTTATTCTTTTTGCCGTAAATTTGTTTACCTTATTATTATTATTTATTAACTTCTGTATATACGGATACTCATAATTATCTGAGGAAGTAATTCTGATTCGTGTGTACATTGTAGTCCAATGCTTTGAATTATAATTAGCTTAGCTGTTACCAAATTCAATTACGATTTAGCAAGTATTTTTTATAACATTAGATCAATGTGTAAACATAAATATGCTAAAAGGAAAAATTTTAAATGCAGTTTTAATTTGTTCACCAAGATGATTCATTTTGCAGTTACTGGTTTCTGCAGTACTTAATTAAATACGCTCAAAGTAAGTAATGCGGTATACAAGATCATTTAATTTACTGGAAAGTGATAATATCAACTATGTAAATGGAGTAAATTAAAAAGATCTGTCTCTATGAAATTCAACATTAAATCGTGTTCTTCTATCATGAGAAATATGTTACAAATACAGAGTACTTGAAACCCACAAGTATATTACTGACTTAAATATTATGCTTTTATACTTGATGCAGTTATAAACAGTGCATAATTATAAAAATCAAATCATATTTCAAAATCCAAAATATTACATTAAGGTAACAATTAACATGAATTTCTTTGACTCTAACTAAAGCATATAGATCTTTTAAAATCCTAACAGTTAATATTATGATTTTAGAAAAAATTTAATGATTATATTGTTATTTTTATCAATCTTGATACTTTTTAAATCATTCAATCTGAGTAAAATGAATACGAACCAGTTTAACTTAGATAGGCCTTCAAGATGCCATCGCTTCCCTTAATCAAATACTTCTCGCAAATTTTGCCGTAATGAATCAAAGAAATATACAAAAGAATATTACAGCTTAGTTATAATATTTTCACAAGCATTGAAAGACGTAAAGTTGCAAACTTTAATAAAAGTTCTAGTCCAATGTCTGTTGCTTTTTCATAATTATTAGTATCACTAGTAAAGGAATCTTCATTCGATGAAATTAAAGGCAATATCATAATCCGCAACTTATTTTTACCCTGTAACTTGATAATTTATATATCTCTATAAATATAAGAGCAACGGCAGAAAGTTTCTTTGTTAAACAGAATACAGAAATGCACATAATGGCCATCTGCCAACGGTAGCAATGGTTTGTGGCGGATTTTAAATGAAACTTCCACGTATTTGCGTAATATTTGGAAAAAATCACGAAAATATACAAGCAGTTAGCCTGTTTTCCGGAATTCTAACTTTTCCCCCCTAAGTCCGTTTTCGGCATTTCTGCCATTATTCGATGAACAACCCAATAAAAAGATGAGAGTGTAAAGAAAGCAAAACTAGAAATTAGCCACTATAGAGTTATTTGGTAATAAACTTTAAAATAATAGGGCAGTTCTCGAGGTGGTCATCATCCATATCACCATGATGACGCAGAAGGCAACAAGCTGAATCCTTGACTCCAAAAACTAGAAACTCCAACAGCCCGAGGTAAAAAAAAAAAGTGTGGATTTTATTTCTTTTGCTGAGCAGGATATTCCACTTCTCAACCATTGCTGCATCAACATATATGAATATTCTGTTATTTTTCCCTTTATATATAATCCTTTTAATATTACGCAAAGGAAAAGGAGAATCAGGTTAGGCCATAAATGATCCAGCCTTGACAAGTCTACCTGCCTGCTCATTTCCAAAAATATCACAATGGCTCGGAATCCACTGAAGAGCAATGCTCTTTCTGTTTTCCCTTAGCTCAAAAAGTTTCATTTTGCAAGAATAAACCTGGGCATTTTTATTATAGTTAGAACTGGTAAGGAACAAAATAGCAGCTTGTTAATTGATGAAAAATACAATATTTAGACCTAGGCTATTATTTTAATTTATCAGTTGCATATGTAATAGCTGCTATCTCGCCATCGAAAGTATCACAGTACTTCTCAGCAGAACAGCTAATACTAAAATTACTTGAATAGACTCCAGAACCGGTATTTTTTGTCGCATTTTCTGCTGAAGTATCTGTGTCAACATTAAACCACTTCTCTGGAGGGTACCAGTAATGTATGGTAGCCGTAAGAGCATTATTTTATTCATTCAGAGTGGAGATGTTTGCTTGACGACTGGATGCAAGAATATCGTAAATATCATAAAGATCACAGATAGTCGAAAGGAAGGATATATGAGTCTTTAGGGTTTATCCAAAGTTTTTAACAGTTATCTTATTAGTTAAAGCTACTTTCCTGTCTCTTCTAATTTCAGCTTACAATTTCCTGTCAGAGTGTGTTTTTGAATTGCGGTTAATGCAAATGAGGAAGATTCTGTCAAAATTCCCTCGACTTCGTTAGAGATCCAGAGATTCTGACTAGCGCGCGTTTGCCATTTGGCTGCACTCTGTCTCTCTAAGCTATTACTACGCTCGGCTGTATTTCAGGATCATGATAGCTTTGCCAGTTAGTTAACATTTAAGGGCCAAGTCTTTAGAATTTTGATAGCTTCGGCTATGTCTTTTTTAGTTAAGCATTAGTTAAGTTTGGTTTCTTAGTACTCTTGAGTTCAAGCTCAGGTGGAGGCTTTCCTGTACGCTCTAAAACAGCAGCCGACTGTAAATTCTTATTTTAAGAAATAAAGGGTTTCTTCTTGAGTTTACGTTCCTGTTTTCTGAGCTAAAGCGATTATTCGCTTACCAGTTCTTGATGTTCCACACACTTAGCTGTAAGAGAAAAGTTTCTATAAGTCTTTCAATTACTGGTCTACAGCAAAACGTTTTCTTTTCTTCTTAAGATTGTTTTAACAAAATTCGTTGTGCTCATTTAGTACCTTCACTTAAAGACTCTAAATCGTCTGTAATTCCATAGCAACAATTATAATCGAGCTTTCGCCATCTGTGATCAGTTGCAATATATTGTTTCAGAAAATATACGACTTGTTTCTAACAGAATTTGAGGCAGTAATAAAAACCTCATTAGCATATTCAACAACAGGACTCGCATAATTTTTATAAGCTGTGCACAAAACATCTTGGGTCCAACCCCAAGTAATGCTGTCCAAACGTTTCAGTAGTTTAGATCTAAAATGTTCTCGATCAATGGCTGCATTTACTTGTTTTTTTTTTTTTTTTTTTTTTTTTTTTTTTTTTTTTTTCAGGATAATTTTGGGTCTAAATGAATGCCCAAGTAAACATAATCATATGTTCTATTTAGATCTTTATTATTATAATAAAGGAGAATATCATGATATTTAGTACTAAGGGAGAACAACTGGAAGATAGTTTTTTCAGTATTTATTACCGTATTATTTTCATGAGTTCAGATATTAAGAAAATTTAAGGCCTGTTATAAGACACTCACCAGGCCAAAAAAGTCGGATCCAGTAACGCTCATCACCATTATCATCAGCAAATAACAAGGTATTAATGTCCAAGACAGATCTAGAAATATTGTCAATTAAATCGTTTGTCATAACATAAATGAATAGGACTCTTCCTGAGGTAAACCTTGTTTTGTTTGTCGATAACCCAATACATTTTGAATTCTAACTTTACTGGAACAAGCAGTTTTTCTAACCACCCGGTCACTAGTGCAGAACAAAATATCGCATCAGAACCAAACATCGCAAATTAAAACAATCAACAACACATAAAATATATATTTAGCATTACAATATATTTGCTTTTCACAGTTTGTTCAACTCCGTCTTCAAGCTTCGAATCACCATCCAAGTTTTTAATTTTGCAGTCGTTATCTAAAACCCTGTTATAACTATTTATGTTATAAATTGCGTTATAATCTTTTCACATTCGGTAGATGATAATTCAGCGCTCAAAATCCTCGCTTTAATTTTTAAATCAATATTTTAACGTAAAAAATGTTGTCTAACTTCTAACATCTTCTTACTTCGAGGTGTAATTTAACTTTTGACATTTCATAGTAGCAATAAATTACTGATTCAGAAGTCAAACAACAAAAATCAGCGTTAATTCACAAAATTTTCACAGGACTAGTTTCGATGGTTTTACCGAACCATCATCTTCAGCTGCAAAACCGCAAATGAACAAGATAGGAAATAATGTTTAGATAAGATAAGAAACTAGAACAGAAAGATTTTTATGAATGTGAAATGCCTCTAGAAAATCCAGTTCTCCAATGGAAGATGTTTTTTGAATAATTTTGGCAGCAGAAAAATTGAAAGTGTGATTTTCGGACCAACAATGTTGAGCAACAGAAGACTTCTGTGTTTCCTTTTTTCTAACATATGCCTCATGTTCTTTGACGCGAAATTTTAAGGCTCTCTTAGTTTGGCCAATGTAAATTAAACCGCACTGGCAAGGAATCCTATAAATACCCCAGGAATTCATATCCGGAATGGGGTCCTTGAGTATAGAAGTTGGAATTTTATTGATGGGAGAGTAAACAACCCGAAAGTTAAATTTCTGCAAATATGTGCAACTTTATAGCTAATTGATGGAAAGAAGGGAATGACAACAGAATTTTTATAATCTCCTAAAATAAGAGTGTGGCTTTTAGTGTGTTGAGATGAGAATTTTTTAATTTTTTAATGTTGGGTGAAAAGCCCCTGTCAATAGTTATTGCTTTTAAATAATTTAGTTCTTCATCAAGGGCTAGTTTGGAGGAGCAAACTTGAAGAGCACGGAAAACATAGGAATAAAATGAAGCTAACTTTTGTTTAGTCGGATGACATGATTTAAAGTGTGGTGGAAGGCAAACCGATGAAGGTTTACGGTAAACTGTAGTACTGAAGTTGGATGTGTTACGTGTGACCAGAATGTCGAGAAACGGAAGAGAATTGCAAGTTTCAAATTCAAAAGTGAACTGAATAGCAGGATCAATAGAATTCATTGTTGAAAGAACTCTATTTAAATCATATTTATTACCTTCAAACAGGGTAAAAGTATCGTCTACGTAGCGGAACCATGCCGGGAAGTTTAAAGTTTCAAACAATTTTGATTCATAATAATGCATGTAGATATCAGCCAGGATGGGACTGAGGGGGCTACCCATGGCTAATCCCTCAGTTTGCTTGTAATATTTATTTTGGAAAACAAAAATGTGTTTGTTTCAAACAGAGTTGAGTGAGAGAAATTAGCTCATCAATTTCGATGCAAGAGAAATGAAATTCGCGCGAAGTCTGGGTTTCTAGACATCTTAATGCACCTCCCACTGGGACATTGGTGAATAATGATTTTACATCAAAAGAAGAAACCATGAGTAAATTACGAGGAGAAATGTTTTTTTTTAACCTTTTTTACAAACTCTATTGAATTTTTTATGGTGTAAATGTTATTGTCTAATAGAGTGGAAAATCTAGAAACTAAATATTTAGCTAATGGATACGGGCAGTACCTAAATTTGATACAATAGGGCGGAAAGGAATACCACTTTTATGAATTTTGGGAAGAGCATATAATCTGGCACAATTCGCAACAGATGGGATAAGCGAATGTTTTAAGTTGCTTGAAATGATTTGCGAAGATTGAACCGTCATAAAAACACCCTTGCAGTTAAATTCGAAAAACTTCTTTTACAGTCTTCCAGTTCAAGTAGTTCAAAAAATCTTCCCATTGTAAACATCAAGCCAATAGTTAATATTTCTAATGTTAGTCTTTCAGAAGAACAAGAGAGAATTCTAAAATATAATCTTAACTTCTCACAAACCTGTAAACCCTCGATTCCAAAGATTTTGGCTCCTATCGAAAAAGCTTTCAAGTTCAGTAAAGTTTCAGATTCACAGAAAGAAATGATTAGGCATCTTATCGCTCATAATGTGAAATTCAATAATAAACCTTTGAAACCAATCTAACTGCGAGAGAAAGAGCTACAATGCGCGAGATTCATTCTAACCCGGATATTGTCATTTCAAAGGCCGACAAAGGTGGCCAGATAGTCGTCATGGATAAGAACACTTACATCGATGGTTGTCACTAAACTCTTAAACGAAGGACCATATAATCCGATCCCTAAAGATCCTTCACCTTCGGACTTATCCAAAATAAAAACTGCGATCAAATCTTCGCAAATCATTTCAAGCAACTTAAAACATTCGCTTATCCCATCTGTTGCGAATTGTGCCAGATTATATGCTCTTCCCAAAATTCATAAAAGTGGTATTCCTTTCCGCCCTATTGTATCAAATTTAGGTACTGCCTCGTATCCATTAGCTAAATATTTAGTTTCTAGATTTTCCACTCTATTAGACAATAACATTTACACCATAAAAAATTCAATAGAGTTTGTAAAAAAGGTTAAAAACATTTCTCCTCGTAATTTACTCATGGTTTCTTTGATGTAAAATCATTATTCACCAATGTCCCAGTGGAGGGTGCATTAAGATGTCTAGAAACCAGACTTCGCGAATTTCATTTCTCTTGCATCGAAATTGATGAGCTAATTTCTCTCACTCAACTCTGTTTGAAACAAACACATTTTGTTTTCCAAAATAAATATTACAAGCAAACTGAGGGATTAGCCATGGGTAGCCCCCTCAGTCCCATCCTGGCTGATATCTACATGCATTATTATGAATCAAAATTGTTTGAAACTTTAAACTTCCCGGCATGGTTCCGCTACGTAGACGATACTTTTACCCTGTTTGAAGGTAATAAATATGATTTAAATAGAGTTCTTTCAACAATGAATTCTATTGATCCTGCTATTCAGTTCACTTTTGAACTTGAAACTTGCAATTCTCTTCCGTTTCTCGACATTCTGGTCACACGTAACACATCCAACTTCAGTACTACAGTTTACCATAAACCTTCATCGGTTTGCCTTCCACCACACTTTAAATCATGTCATCCGACTAAACAAAGTTAGCTTCATTTTATTCCTATGTTTTCCGTGCTCTTCAAGTTTGCTCCTCCAAACTAGCCCTTGATGAAGAACTAAATTATTTAAAAGCAATAACTATTGACAGGGGCTTTTCACCCAACATTAATCAAAATTAAAAAATTCTCATCTCAACACACTAAAAGCCACACTCTTATTTTAGGAGATTATAAAAATTCTGTTGTCATTCCCTTCTTCATCAATTAGCTATAAAGTTGCACATATTTGCAGAAATTTAACTTTCGGGTTGTTTACTCTCCCATCAATAAAATTCCAACTTCTATACTCAAGGACCCCATTCCGGATATGAATTCCTGGGGTATTTATAGGATTCCTTGCCAGTGCGGTTTAATTTACATTGGCCAAACTAAGAGAGCCTTAAAATTTCGCGTCAAAGAACATGAGGCATATGTTAGAAAAAAGGAAACACAGAAGTCTTCTGTTGCTCAACATTGTTGGTCCGAAAATCACACTTTCAATTTTCTGCTGCCAAAATTATTCAAAAAAACATCTTCCATTGGAGAACTGGATTTTCTAGAGGCATTTCACATTCATAAAAATCTTTCTGTTCTAGTTAACGATCCTAATTCCAATCCAAATTTGCCTTCGGCTTTAGAGAAATTATGTTTTAGTTCTGGTTTCGCCAACAGATGGCGCCACTTGCTTATTCTTGTCCAGGCTTTCTTATCTTATCTAAACATTATTTCCTATCTTGTTCATTTGCGGTTTTGCAGCTGAAGATGATGGTTCGGTAAAACCATCGAAACTAGTCCTGTGAAAATTTTGTGAATTAACGCTGATTTTTGTTGTTTGACTTCTGAATCAGTATTTATTCGGCGTGTTATTGTGTCTTAAGCAATAAATTAGTTGTTTCCTTCAAAACCCGTACGTGTACGTTACGTAGGTGTAAAGTGAAAATGATTCCGTTTTCCTTAGAAATCCCTTTATAGAAAAGAAGTCATTTCTTGCTTTAAGTAAGATGTTTCTTATGTTCTTGGTCATAAACAAAGTAATACAGTCAAATCCAATTAAAGTTATTATTTTATTTGTCCAAAGGGGCTTTATCCCTGAGAGACTATTATTTTCGTTTTGCGATTTTGCGTCGAATCACTCTGAAGGTCCGTTTCACTTTTCAAACTGTTGCTACCAAATAATATCGCCCTTTATTGTATTTGAAGAAAATAAATAATGAAGAATCTACGTAAATGTATGTATGTTTCTCGCATTGTGATAAAACAGCGGTATCTAGTACCATCAAATTTTGAACGACGTAATCCTACTACGAATATGGGCATCTGGAAACCCAAATTTAAAATTTGGAATTTTTTCATTATCGATTTCATATTTTGTAAACCTTTAACGAATTTTTAATTAGAAAACTCAAGGTTTCAAAGCGAGCAATGGCAACGTTGTACAGAAAAAACATTTTTATCTTCAGCGCGTGAGACTGTGTATCGAAAGTTCTAACGATATGCTCAATTTAAAATTATTTTGCTATATTGCTCTTGAACTGAATTTTATGGTTTAAGTGCGAAGAACGTGATATTTAATAAATAAAGGTAACACACAAAATGTTAAAAAAAAAAGTCCCTTTGGATGTAATTTAAAATCTGAAAC